GACCAATAAGATGTGATATTCTATTTAAATGTAGAATATCAACCTGCTTAGTCTTTGGATGTTTAATCAGAAGATTCTAGGATTCTTTGCTTTTCCAGGGATCAACACACACTTCATCTCAATCATCATGTCAGAGTCAGGTTTATAAAAGATAAGAAATTTATTTTCTAAACAAATAAAACCATGACAAGTTAACCACAGCTACTGTGATGGATGATTCTAAGAGGATGGGATGTGATGTATGGTGATTTAATGATGTGTGTTTATCAGAACCTTGTATCTAGAAGAACTGAGCTCTGGGTATGAAAAGGAATTTGGTTCGCATTAAACTATGAAGTTGGTTCTTATCAAAGCAGCATCAGATGCAATCTGGCTGTGTTCTACGTACCCCTGAGGAGATTCCCTTTCAGATCTGAGATGTTGGGGGTGTCGGGTGACCCCAAGGTACCGAGGTTCGTAGAAAAGAACGCAGTATGACCAGGTCGGTCCTGAGTCGTCTCCGGGATCACAATAGATAGACGAAATCGTTTGCGTCTGGTCCCTAACCAGGACGTGCAATGTTAAGGGGTGTTAACAAGCAAACCTCAGAACATCACGCCTTCTTTCAGATACAGGATGTACTGATTTGTGGCCAAGAAAATATCTATGTGTCATAACGTTTAACTTAACTTTAATTTATCTCTAATGAACCTTGTGTCTGAGTGTAGATAATGATTCACTTGTCATATCAAACATTACTGACCATCATATATATAAATCTTTCAATGTAATAACAACATTCATTTCAAACTTCAGTAATTCAAGCACAGATTAATCATGATCTGCCCCTGCCCTTGATTAGTCCCTATTGGTTTCACCTGCCCCTTGTTAACCTGCCCATGTGTTCCTGATTTTCCCCAGTGTATTTACACCTCCCGTCTCGTTATGTCCTTTGTCAGATCATTGTGGCTTGTTTGTCATCGTTGTCTCGTGCTGTTCATTCCCGCTCTACCATTAAATCATTTTTTCTTTATCCATGCCTGCCTTTTTGCCTCCCGGCCAGCTCCACCACACATGGTCCGCCTCCAACTACTCCGCAACGTGACAGTAGGTGAAAACCGACCATTGCTGGACGTTACACATCCATCCATCCATCGAAACCAATTTTGTTGGCAGCAAAGGAGAAACTTTAATAAAACGAATAAAGGGAGGAAAGCTTTGACCTTTGATGGCCTAAATTCTGATAAAAGTTGGAACATTTTGGCTCAGAAAGCACTAATTGTCACTTATTAGTCCTTATTAGTGTCATGTTTCAGTATTTTATGTTTTCAAAACAGTTCAGTAGAAGAGAATAAATGTTTCAGTCACAGACAGTGTGTCATCAGCTTGTCTCCAAGAGAGTTGAAAAGGGACATGTCCCAGTAAGACACATTGGGAATGTGTCAGTCATCTGTAAAAATACTAAACTGCAGAGAAAGACCCTTAAAGTCATTTAAAGTCCTTGTTTCATTTTGTGCAAATGTCATACAGCTCCAGTCTTCTGATAAATCTACGTTCAGGAACCAAAGACCTTTGTTGGAGTTTCCTGTAATAATCCATTTATTTAAGCAACATTTAAAACCCTATTTTAGCCTATTTGAACTAATTTGAAAACGTTGTGGCCAATTATTTTATAAGCAACTAATTTGTCTTTTTCTTAACTCAACCCAAAATCTTCTTTAAGAATATTTTGAGGACTATACTATAAGAATGTGTTTTATGGCGTTAGAATAATTAATCTCTTGTGATAAAATTTCTTTTTTGATTGAAAACAATTTATAGGAAAATAAAACCACGAGGATCTAATTTCAGTATCAGAAAGTCCTGATGAACAAAGACATTTTCACTCATTTTCTTCAGAAGCTCGTCCTCAGAGGTCTGACCTGATTCACTTCACTTTTCATTACTGAATAAGGGGCGTGGCTGAATTAGTCTCTGTTTGGTGTACATCTTTGAAGTGGATTGCCTGGTTATGTCAGCGGATCATGGCGCTGTCACAGAATTACACACCATGCTTATGTAACGATGACAGGCGGATAGAAGCTTCATGGAGAGAATTTATTTTGTTCAGCCTCCTTTGCTGAATATCAACTATTTTCCCCCAACTTCATTAATAACAAGTTTGGTGCATTTTTTTCTTTTAGACAGCAAAATGAAAAAGAGTCAGGCATCTATACCTTGCAGCTAATTAATGACAGTCTCAAAAAGACAGATTCAGTTCTTTTTATGTAACAAACCTGAGAAACCGCAACCTCCAGAGCTGCAGTCAAGACCAATAGTTGTCTCACTAATTAGATATTGATCAGCTGAAGGAGTCCCAATTTTATTTGATTGTCAATCTTCTGTCTTTTTGCCATTTCATTTTCTGTGTCTTCTTTGCTTCAGGAAACAACCTCTGTGCTACAAATAGAAGATTTGGATCAGGCAAGAAGGGCAGCAATTCTTCCCATTCGCTAAAACAAATGACCCATTACTGAATTTATATCCAGGAAGCTATGCAGCTTGGTCACTTTGCTGTGTTGATCTGGTCCCGTGGGAACAGGACCATGTTGTGATTTTCTGCTGTAGAGATTACTAGAGAAGCTGATTTTTACTTGTTATTTTTTAAATATGATAGCTCACTCTGAATTTAGCAAGGAGACTGAATGTGAAAATAGTCTTGGAGCCCTATTCTCTGCATTAGTCGTTGAAAGAAAATAGATGAGGAAATGCTCTGATTAGAAAAGCCAGTCAGATCAGCGTCACAACTGAAAATTTGCATCCATGGACTTGGTCCATAAATGCTAATGCATTCATGATGGGGAGGCTGTTGCTGATTTAGCATCCAGGAGAGAAGAGAGCACATCTCAGCTAGTAAAAGCTAACCATTAGCATTAGCAACTCCACAACATAGCAGAACCCCTTCAAGATTGTGTGATTTGTGACAAAATATCAACTTTTTTTAGGTATTAATGTTGCAAAGCAAACAGAGTCAGTGGGAGAGCTGCGTTGCTGTTAGCCAATCATAGGCAAGATGTCTAAATATCAGGAAATAACGCTCTAAATCTTGCTGTCTTCCACTCCATTTTGATCTGGCTAACTTTTACTTCTTGTAACAACAGCGCCAGAGCTTTTTGTCCCACAAAGATTGACTTACAAGGCTTTCATTTATACTAAAGACCACTGCAAAGGAGTTCATGGTGGACCACAACCATAAAGATATGAGCCTGCTGCATGCCCCCAGAGCAGAGACAAGCCAGAGGGAGAAACGGTAGACAAAGGAGAGAGATTTAGCTGTAGTATCAGGACGTTCTGTGGAGAGAGCAGGTGTCTTGGTGAGTGAATATTGCTAGTTAGCCAGCTAGCTTAAGCTCATGTAGAGATTATTGTCATGCACCATACAATAAAAATATTATTGGTCAGTTGATATAATATTGAATATTGACAATAATAAACTATAATGATGGGACCTCCCTGACCTGGTTCTGACACTGATCTGGGCTCTTGGAGCCTGCAAGTATTTTTCAAAACTCTGCCACGGGTCTCTGGAGGATGAGAGACATGTTGAACTCCTGTGTTTTCAGCTGCACAAAACGCACCAGGAACGGAAGAGGGTTCCATTCATTCTCTTATTTGTAAACCTGTGAACTTGATGTCCGGAACCACAGGAGTTTGTACATCCTCCACTGACACATTAGTTTAGAATTTTTAAGACAAATTAATGCAATGCGAATCTAGTGAACATACGCTGACTCGATAACACAGAACTACCTATTCGACACACTGAGCTTCAGGCAGGACTAGCTTATAACTCCTTCTTGTTACGTCAGAAGTTAAGACACAGTATAAGCAAAAAGCTTTGCTGAAAAAGGCCCACTTTATACTTGAAATAAGGTGCAGTTATGTATTATAAAATAAAATACCTACAATAAGCGTTTCAAATAGTATTTTTAGACAGACAAAATTTAGAAACAAATCATAATCAATAAACATGAAAAGGACTATTAATAAGATGAATATGGCTTACATTATTTTATCACTCGTAAACTTTGGCTTTACTGTGATCTGGGCTCAAATTCTGGAAGCCATCATCCAGTCTCAAAGCTTAACCAAACTCTGACTCAAACACACCTGTGGTCAGCGTTACTCGCAGCTTTGAAACATTTATTCTGACTCTTGCAGTTTTTCATTATTCAAATGGTGGATTTTCATGTGGAACTAGATATATTAAACCAGACTAAACTAGCTAACGGGCCCAAATCCCCACTAGCTTAGTGCTGGCTTCTGCACAGATTTTTCCCCCATGATCGTAAGACGATTGCAAAAAAAAAAATAAAAATAAAAAAAATAAAAGAGAAAAAAAAGGTAGCTTTAATAGAAAACATGCAAAATTTTGAAATTTTCATCTAAATGTTATAGTTTTGCTGCTTATTATGGAAGTTGAATTTAAAGATGACACCAATTGTCACACTGGCCACACCCATGAATGGGCTCAATAAGTTTCACTTTTCACCAGTGGACAAAGGTGGAGAGGTGGAACTGATTTAACAATACGTTTATGCAGAGGTTTCCCCTTATTTCAACCATGTGACCTTCATATATACTAAGTATTAATTCTCAAACATCACCTGTAAAATTACCTCTCACAAACATTTATGTTTTCTTCTGAATAATGAGCAACAAGCAACTGAAGTGGTTTAGTTTAGTGAAAAAAGATCAACTAAATTTACTTCATTTTTAGCAGCAACAGAGGAATGTGCCCAGATTCATCTCACAAGAATGAATTTACTTTGCCAGCATGTGTGTATATTCTGGGAAATGACAGCATCACACACACACACACACACACACACACACACACACACACACACACACACACACACACACACACACACACACACACACACACACACACACACACACGCGCACACACACACACACACACACACACACACACACACACACACACACACACACACACACACACACACACACACACTTACCAGGCCTGAGACTTCCTCCTGGGCACACTCTGTCTCGTCCACTTGGAGTGAGGGGTCAAGTGGTAAATGAGCTGGCGGCAAATCTTGTTGGTGGACTTGAGAGAGTCAGCTTCCTGCAAACACACACACACACACACACACACACACACACACACACACACACACACACACACACACGCACACGCACACGCACACGCACACGCACACACACAATTTAACTGCATTGTTAAATGATGATGAAGGCACTGCACAAACCATTAAGGCCCTCTCACAAGGTATCGGTGAGACTCTTGTGTGATAGAGTAATAAACAAAGCACTAAGAACATGGGTAGTAGGTATAGTATAGTTTCTAGTGGTACTATACGAAAGTCATAATGTTTTTTAAAAGAGTATTTCCCAACCCTGGTCCTTGGGACCCACTGTCCTGCATGTTTTCCATGTTTCCCTTTCAAACACCAGTGCTCAATGTCCTCCTGAGGAGGCAATGCAAAGATGTAAATCATGGGCTGAAGCAGAGACATGGAAAACATGCAGGATGGGGGTCTCCAGGACCAGGGTCGGGGAACCCATCTTAAGAACTACGTCTTTAAAAACCATTTAGAGAATTTAATATCTACCCTGCCCATTTAAATTGACATTTTAGCTGCTTTATAGAGTGTCACACTTTGTGTAAACTCTTCTTCTGTTGCCATTCCTGTGTTACAACGTCTAGAATAGGGCAACCCTTGTCCAGCATCGTTTAGATGATTCCCTGCTCCAACATATCTGATTTTATTCAATGGTGATTAACAGGCTATTGCAAAGCAACCAATGAATCAAAATTGTTGGAGCTGGGAAACCACTAAAACATGATGGAAAGCAGTTCTTCAGGACAAGGGTTGCCTACCCTATAGGTAAAGTACTGCAGGAAGGAGTATAACTTTAAAACAACTTAAAACAGTCTTTAACATCAAAATCCTTAGAAATTATCAACATGTAACTGTGAATAAAATATAATTGTCATGAGCCGGGGTGAGCAGGCACGTGCAGAGGGGGGTGCGGAGGGTGCTTGAGACCGTGCCCCTTTTGTCCGAAGTGCCCAAAGTGCCCTTTTTCCGGTCGTTCGTCAGATTTTACCGTACAAAACTGTTATACTGTGATACAAATCGGGCACTAGGACCATGCGGAGGCAGCCGCCTCAAGCTGAAGGCTATTTTCCCTTAGACCCACCTACAAGCTCACTGATTGGCTCTGCTGCATCATACTAACGTGTGATTGGTTGTCCCTGCTGTCGCTCTACCTTGTAGCCATGGAGACGACAGACCTGTGTTTTCCCTGCGGACAGGAGTCTGCGTTCATCTAACTGTAAGTTTTTTTTCTGCCTGCTTCACGTCAGCTGGATGGATTTTAATATCAGAGCTTTTGTTTACGTGCGTTTGAGTCCGTGGTTAGTGTGTGTGGAGCAGAGTCAGGTAGCTGCATGTCTGGGACAGAAAATGAGACATGAGAGAGAGTTCTCCTGAAGAGTTGCAGAAACTCACAAAGAATCACGGATGTGTCTCACTCTAGATTCTCCGGGTCATAACTTCTGAATTACTAATCGAATAAAAATACTTAAAATGGTTTCTAAAAGTACATAAAGCGAGCTTTCCAACGAGGTATTACATGATATAATTCATGTTCCTCCAAAATTCGCTATTAGAAGGAAACCAGCTTTGCAGCGTCACTGAAAGAAACGGAGCGAACCGTGACGGGAGAGCGAGAACGAAAGGGAGGAGATGATCTGATCATCTTCATCAGCAGCTTTTATAAAGTTATGGAAACATCACAAATAAAATCCACCTGGTTGGTCAGGTGTCCCAGAAGGCTGTTTCTGTAGATGGTGACATGAGGAGGGACAGATTAAAGTCACACTGGTTTTTATTTGAATACACAACTGTTTACTAAATGATTCAGCTTCATTCCAGCATTATTTATACGTACAATAAATATTTATTTAGCTGAAAATATTATGTTTAGCATCAAATCAATATAATGAAAATAAGCCGTTAGATCACATGCATTGACCTAATCTATGAAATTGCATTGCTACAAGTCTTTCATTTTGAAAATTACCAGAAATTTTACACTGAAACCATGTTTGATTTCCTGTCTAGCCCTATGTTAACTGCAAAAAATTGATGTGTCCCAAAAGCAGATGCGCGGCGCAGCATGGCAAACTGCTTCAGGGAAGCGGCTGATTTGTATCAACCCCATAGACTATAATAGATTAGCAACGTTCCGCTGCAGTTCCACACTGCTGATGCCTCCAGTAGGCTCTATTATTACAATCATATAAAAATCATTTTAGAAGTTAGCTATGTAACAATTATGCAGTAATAAAAACTTTTAATTGGCCCTTGTCACAGGTAGCTCCTCCACCAGAGGGCAGTAAACATACAACTGGATATGGCAGGTTTGTGGTGAAGGTGCTAATTCTGATCCTCCATCAGTCAGAAGACGTTTGATAATCAGAATCAGATTTATTGCCATGTTCGTGAGAGGCTCATCTACTAGGAATTTGTTTCAGTGGCAAGGTGCAAACATACATTCAGGTCAAAGTCAGGTCAGGCAGTATTTACGTCAGGATACATCAAATAATAAGAAAAGAGATATAGCCAGAAAGCAATCATAAATGTGGGAATATGGGTGACGGGGGCATTTGTGTGTGTTTTGGCCATTCATCGGTTGTTCAGGAGCCTTACAGTGGAGGGGAAGAAGCTGTTTTTGTGGTGTGAGGTTCTGGTCTGTAAGGACACGAACCTCCTCCCTGAAGGTAGGGTTTCAAACAGTCCATGACCAGGGTGAGGGGGGTCAGCTGTTATCCGACCTGCATGTTTCAGAACCCTGGAGTTGTACAGGTCATGTACCGATGGAAGGCTGCATCCAATTACTTTCTCCGCTGAGCGCACTATCCTTTGCAGTCTTTGTTTGTCCCTAGCAGTGGCTCCTGCGTACCACACAGTGATAGAGATTTGATGATGGCCATGTAGAACTGGATCATCAGCATGTCTGGCATGCAGAGCTTCCTCTGTTGACGCAGAAAGAACATCCTTTGCTGGGCCTTCCTGATGAGGGTATTGATGGACACCTCCCACCTGAGTTCATGGGTGATGATGGACTCAAGGAACCGAAAGCAGTTCACGGTTGAAATCTGGCTGTCTGTCAGGGTTATGCTGGGCAGTGGAGCCGGTGTTCTCCTGAAGTCTACAGTCATCTCCACTGTCTTCTGCTTGTTCAGCTAGTAGAGTAGAGGGAGAAGAGCAGAGGAGAGAGGACGCAGCCCTGGGGGTTCCAGTGTTGGTGGTTTGGGTGTCTGAGACATTTTTTCCCAGCCTCACGTGCTGTCTCCTATCTGTCAGAAAGGCTGTAATCCACCGGCAGATGGGGTCGGGCACGTTCAGCACGGATAGTTTGTCCTGAAGGAGAGCTGGGCAGACCTTGTTAAATGCTAATAATTTGTAACAAGGGGTTAAATATTTTTCTGTATCACATCTTCAGTTTTATCCTCCGCATTTCCTTTAACCCCCTTTCCTTCCTTATTCTGTTTCTCCCTCATTAATGGGTTTAAAAGGAATGAGTTAATCAGACCCAATCTAATTAATGGATCAACCACACCACAGGAAATGTGGTGAGGAAAAACAAAAACAAAAAACCAAACAGAGGCAACGCAGCCAAAGGGGATTAACCGTTCCTGCTGCCATGTCTCTGAGCTGACACAACGAACAGGCCTGAAAACATCCAGTGCTGCTGTTTCATCCACTTGGAAGATTGAGCAGGATGTTACAGCAGCAGCAGCACATCCCCATTCACCGTCTTCTTTTAGAAGCTGTGGATCCACACAGCGCCAAAGAGTGCAGTAGTGTAACTGTAAGCACTATTAATCACGCCTTTACAAACCCGAGCGTGTCAAACGCTGAATTAACTATCTCAAACTGATGATTCATGCTTCAAAACGCTTCCAAATTAGGCTTGTTTGAGATCACAATATGTCTGAATACATGATCTGAATAAACATCAGAGTGTTGGAAAACACTGGCAACAGAAGAAGCCGCTGGGCCCTCTTTACATCCCCGTCACGTCTGACACAGTATCTTGCCACGGGTCGCCAACTCGTCAGGAGCACAGCGCTGCCAGCACCTCCGTTTTCGCTCCCTAACTCCTGAGATGTTGCTGCTACAAGAGAAAACCAGGAAATTCTTCCACGTGAATTCCTTCAAGTTAAATCCCAGATTACAGTCAACCTCAGACGTTTATTTTGAAGAACTTCTTAGTAATGATAATTGCTCCTGGGTTTGTGTTTTTACAGCCTCTCTTGTTCCTTTTCCCACATACTTGTGATTGAAAATGTATCTTGAATGTTAACATGGCTGATTGGTACGCCGTGCTGCAAGTGAATGAGCTGACTGCCAGTCTGGACAAAGCACCTTTTATTTGTCAGAGAATCACTTCTGTTCTCTGACTGACCACAGTGTTCTGACCTTAGTTCACAAGATACTGAAGGGTACTTTTTAAGTTATAAGCTTTAACTTTTACGGCTGTTTTTATTTTAATTTTGGTAGATAATGCTTATTTTAATAAATCTTTATTTTTATTATGTTATTTGGAAAACGTCTTAACACTTCAAGAAAAGAAACATCAATATGGCAAAAGGTGTTATGACACGGGACAGAACATCTTGTTTTATTTTTACAATCTTAACTGGTTCTTTGAACCACTATAAAGTAACTATGTTGGGACTCAGAATGGCCCAGGAGCCCTGATAAATGGCCACACACAGCCCCATAATATATTTAACGAGGAGGGGGTGAGCGTGGCTCTGTCACGTGCAGGATGGGGGGCAGGTTCACCGTCAGCTGTGGATCCATCTAGAAATTAGTGTATTCTACGGTTGTTACAATAAATTTAGAGGTAACATCGCAATGCATTGTGGGAAGCAGCCCTAGACAAAAAAGTGTGCATTTTGCATGGGTGCCTGCGGGTCTGAGTTGCTCTGTTTTGTCTCTAAGTTGTTTTTTCTTCTCCTAAATGTGTACAAACAGAATGAAAAAGGGTTTTGGACTGAGGTGGGTGGTACGTGAAAAGTAGTGTCACAAATAATTACTTAAGAGTAAAAAAATAACTTAGCGAAAATGTTACTTGAGCACTGAGTCTTGAGTAACTAACTCACAGTGAGCATAAAAGTTATAATTTTGTTCTGTTGATTTGTTTTTGGTAATGTCCAAGCGCTCTTTCTGTGTTTTTTCAATTAGCAAATGTGGTTTTTTTTGTCTAGAACAGGGGTGTCAAACTCAGTTTTGCTCGGTGGCTACATTGAGGAAAATCTAGTCCCAAGTGGGCGAGACCAGTAAAATTAAAATATGCATAAATTAAAAACTTCTTCAGATTGTTTCTTTTGTTTTGATATGATCAACATAAAACAACGCTGGAACCTGAGGACAGTGTATCCAAAATAGTTTAAGCACAACATCACTGTTAATAATAAAACACCTGAAGTGTATTTGAAAATGTGAAATACAAAACAAAAAAACCCAGACTATTCCTCAGTAATTCAAATAACTGATTCGCAGATCACATGGCTATATTAGTTTCATGCATGCCTTTGACTCCTGATACCTGAAATCTTTTAGCTTTCACCAGTAGTTTAATTGAAAAAGGAAAGCTTATTTTCAGACTTTACATTGTAAAGTCTGAAAATAAGGTTTACACAATCATCTCGCAGGCCGGATTTAAACTGTGTGCGGGCCTGATCCGACCCGCGGGCCGCATATTTGACACCCCTGGTCTAGAACTAGCACCCAGGCCGCGAAAGGTGAAAGGCGTCATAGAGAGGGACCATGGTAAAGTGTGTGGTGCTCCAACATTCTTCTTTGTTGTTTTCCTTTCATCTCACAGAGATGTTAGCAGTAGCACAAGCTAGTGTTAGCAGTATCTCAGACTAGCTTTTGCGGGAGCACGAGCTAGTGTTAGCATTAGTGTCTAAGCTTATGACGGTTGAACCACATTTTCTTAGAACCATTACAACTAGAGCTGGGAAATAATTGTTATCAACATCTGTGACTCTAACCAATATAATTTTTCCCATGTCAATACATTTGGTAATAAAACAAATGTATGGGTTAGCGACATTCACATCCCTTTAAGAAGCTGTTCCACCTCAAGTCACATGACAACGTGACTCAATGTAATACCATCGACAAATAAATATTGGACAATGGGTTTCCATAGACTCCAATAACACGTTGTTGAGGCTAAATGGGAGGTGGCCACCACCGCCATTTTGACTGTGTCACATGTTCCGTCAAGCCCAGACAATTCCACAAAAGGGAAGAGAGGTGGAGCTGAGGGTGTGGCTGTAAGGCTGGGATCAACTGACGACACCCAGTCAAGCTAACCTGAAGCTAACCCAAAGCTAACGTGGAGGTGGGAGCTAAGCTAATGGAGGTAGCAACTTAGCTACAACCGGAGTTAACTGTGCACAACACCAGAGCTTCTGAGTCAGAGATACGCTGGGCTGACTGCTGGGTAAAACCGGGTGGAACACAGAGGTCTCCCGAAAGCTGGTGAAAGCCGGCAGCCCGCGCAGCAGACAGAAGCCGTGATCAAACAGAGATGCGCTGAGCTGCGGGGAGGGGAGAACCATAAGCCCGCCAGCCACGGACGTAATTTTGGGGGGGGGGGGACATGTCCCCCCACTTTTTCCAAAGTCAAGTTTTGACCCCTGCACTTTTTACCATCCAAAAACAATATTACGCTATATTAAATTGACACTGGTTGAGCTCTAGGACCAAGCAGAAAACAATGGTTTGTGTTGCCTGTTTCCAATTAGAACATACTGTAAAGATCCCCACCCCCCAGCCCCCGTGTCCCACCCACTTCTAAAGTGAAAATTACGTCCATGCCGCCGCAGCCCGCGCAGCAGACAGAAGCCGCGATCAGACAGAGATGCGCCGAGCTGCGGGGAGGGGAGAAACGGGTGGAAAACAGAGGTCTCCCGAGAGCTCCACAAGCCGATAGTCGGAACCCAGCTCCACCAACATGTTATATTTCAACCCATTTTCTAAAGTGCAGCATTATGTTAAATGCACTGGGTTCTACCCTATTACATTTAAATTTCATGGTTAGACAGTACAAGTTAAAATCTAAGCTCAGCTCGGCAGTGACCTAAAATACATAAATATAATTTTACTTACCGAAAAAAATGAAGTGGAGACTCCTTGGACGCTCTATTAGTGCAATTAATGCCACAGCAAGTCATTTTGTCCAACAATTGCACAAATAATATCCAAATAAGAATACACAAACACAGAGACTCAAAATCCCGGAGCAGTTTCCAAGCCAGACCGAGGCTCTACTGAGGCCTTTCCACGGAGCTAGCTCTGTGGTCACGTGGGTCGGATGCTCATTAATTATACAGAATTTTAGGCTTTTAATACACTTAAACAGAAGAGTGAGAAAAAATTCACCCCCCTCAGAGTTGTCATGAGTGTAAACTAGATCATTTAAACCAAAAAACATGTTTTGGTACCAAGCTGTAAACATGTTTATTTCTGCTGTGAAATTGGAATTTTTAACATGGGAGTCAATGAGGATTTGCTTGCTTCTGACACCAGCCCCCAGCGGATGAGGGTGGAACTGCAATTTTTGGTACTTACGGGTTGGACTAAATTTTTGAGCCGCATTGTGGGGGCTTGTGTAATACACATGACAGCTCCATCTAGTGGACAACTTTTGTTTCTGCGCTGACATGTAGTTATCATCCATTTATCGTTATCGAGGTGAACCCCTCAATATACCGTGATATTGATTTTAGGCCATATTGCCTGGCCCTAATTACAACATTACTAAATTGCATAGGAAAGCAGGTTGGTGATGGCATAGGGTGTTTTGTATGCCACATTGGACACTTCAAGCTATGTGCTCACAGTGAACGTTTAATTTCTAGGACACATTTGAAGCATTTTCTATTCTTTAAAATTTTTAGAACTATATTTTACCATCTTAATTTTTTTATTTTAGGAAAGATGGAAAAACTCTAAATAAAATAAAATGAATTTCCTTAGTCTGTAAATGAGACCTGGTACTGTAATCGGCTTAGACTAGAGCACAGGTGTCAAACTCCGGTCCTGAACCGTTGTCCCACATGTTTTAGTATTTTTCTTGTTTCAACACACCTGATTTCAATCAGCAGGTGATTAACAGGCTTCTGGAGAGATTCATGAGCTGCTGCACAGGTGATTTAGCAAAAAGATGCAGGATACTGGCTCTCGAGGAATGGAGTTTGACACCCCTGGACTAGAGCATGAAAAGGGTTCAATAACTTGGATGGATCCTCCTTTTGTCTCCCCTTTTTCACAGTCCTTCATAAACAGCAGATGATAAAAATAGACGTCCACTGGCCTGCAGCCAATTGTCAAAGTGCCCTCACAGTTTGTGCCTAAACTTCTCTGATGCTTCATCCTCGGTGGTTGTGACCAGAGCATTTCTGTTCTTAACACAGTGATTGCTACTAGTTCATGCTATTTTGTAAAAAAAAAAAAAAAACCTAGACTGATAATGTGGTGAACATGCAGACCCTGACATGTTTTCTCACTGCACCAAGGGGGGTCGTGCAGAACCTGGAGAGGAAAACCAAAAGCAGGACTGCCGTCTGTAACCTCTAGTGATGAGCCAAATTTTTTATCTGAGTTTTGCTGCAAAAATAGCAGCAAATTTGCATCTTTACGGCATCTGAGTTACATTTTATTAAAATTGTGATGTCTGCAACAAACCAGAAAGTTTCGGGCCATACCCTTTTGGGACACTGCAGGTCCCGCGCGAGGCTGAGCAGCAGCTCGTGAGAGATGGGGTCCACCAGGTTGAGGAAAGCTGCGTTCTTGTACAAAATGTCGTTAAGCGAAGATCCCTGAAGTCCCAGTTCCTAAGATAAAAGAGAGAGTAGAGAGACTTCGTTCAGACCTTCATCTGATTAAAGAACACAGCTAAACTCAGCCGGGTTGTTAAAGGAAGAAAGACTGAAAAGGGATTTTATTATCTTCTTGTCCTACCTCGCCCTGTTATCGTTTTTGCAGTTTGATAAATGTTTACCATCAGAGCTGAAACCCTCTGCAGCTGATTCCAGGTGAAGCTTGTGTCTGCATCAGCGTTTATGTATTTTAACACTCCAATAATACCGTTTTGATCCCTGGTGAAGAAAACTAAAAGCATTTAATCAAATTTCCAGCTCTCCCGCAGGCCTTTTATAAACTTCCTAAAACATTCGTGCAGAAATACCTCCTGATTCCAGCTGAATGCATCTCACTTTCTTCATTTTAAAGATCAGGCCAAGTGTAGAAGATTTTATATACTAAAAAGAAAACAAGAACCGGGACACATCTCCAGAGGTTCATGATATTTATAACACATTCGGGTGATTTCCATTTGCACGTCTAATGTAAATACTATATACTGAAACTGTGTCTAATTCTTCAAGGACAAGATTCAAAATAAACAACAAAAGGAGAGAAGACGACATGTTCCTGAGCAGATAAAACAATCAGAAGTGTTGAGAGGAAAAGGAAATGTTTCCTTTTTTTTTCTTTTATCCACAAAAAACGAAAAGGCTTTTTCTCGTCTCATTCATGGAATAAACATGTTTCCCAGGAAGAAAACAAGAGGAAAGCATGTTTCTCTGGTCCATCATGTGTTTGTTTAGTTGCAGTGAAACTAGAGGCTTGGTAGAAGCAGAAAACACGTTGTCAGCTCTGAACCGAAAAGCTCCTCAAACAGCAGACTGGAGGCTAAAGCCGTGTGAAACATTTTCTATGTGTGCTGACAGCCATAACGCTTTGGGGCACGCAGAGACAAAAACTCCCATCAGCGTTTTCTCCTCCTCCAGCCTCCGGCTTGATTTATTACAGCAGAGATCTGTGGGATTCCCGATGTGGGGCTATCCTCCACCGCTAGCTGTCTGAGAGTACCAAATGTTTGGAGGACACACAAAAAAAGAAGGTTTGATGTGTCTTATCTATGCAGCTGCAGATTCTGGAATATTCGTTTTGAGATCCCCAAAACGATTTGATTTGATGGATTAAACATGACTCCTTCTTCACCGTGAAGGCATGATGCGTTCTGCTCTTTGACAGGATCCTCGTGTACTTCAGATTAAAAAGCCGTGCATCTCATTTCTCTGCTCCGTCACAAAAGGTCTGAATGGGGAGATGATCTCAAAGCAGCAGAGCATCATCCCACACACGCAGTTCATTAGGATCCAGAAACATATCAAGCATAAATCCCATCCCACAGGTTTCATCTTCATAACACAGAAGACAAAAGTCAGGATTGTCTTATTAAAAAAAAAAAGAAATTAAAAACTATTTCCAGTTCTTCAAAATGCAGATTTACAGAACAAGTTAACAACCTGAAATATGGCTGACTGTTTTTTTTAGAGATGGAGAAAATCCTGACATTTTGTTGAAGCTTCTGTTTTCTCTGTTCTTTGGCTTCAGAGTCCAGGTTCAGGCAGAAGCAATAATGAAACAGCAAAAAGAGCCAACAACAGCTTTACTAATGAGCAGACAGGCAGCTTCTCAGGGAGAAGAGCTGGGCACTTGGAAACAAGAGTGCTTCGAACCAGCTTTGCTTGTTGTCTGATGACATTTAGGCATCAGAGATTTCTGAAAATGTTCTTGCCAACCTGAAAACTTGGTGAAAACTAATGGTAGAACACACAAACACAGAAAAGCCATGAGGTGTGGTTCACTTGTTTCACTTGTTTACATTTTCAGTGGTCTCTGGTAGGAATTAGCGTGCTCAGGGCAAAAAAAGCCCCAAAATGCTTGGATCAGTACCGACAAGTCTGCTGCTGCAGAGTGGCAAAACACGGCAGGATTCTGAGTCTTATTTCCTGATATTTGGACATCTTGCCTCAAAGTGGATAAAAGCAATGTGACTCTACCACTGACACGGATGTTTTATCTCCACAAATAACACAAGCCTGGAGGAGTTTTTCTGTGTGGTGGAGTTGCTAAGGTTAACAGTTCTAGCCAGGGCGCTCTCTTCTGTTTCATGGACGACAAAACAACAGCCTTCCCCGTCGTGAGCAGTGGCGGTTTTACCATTAGGCATAGGTCGGCGGCCGCCTGGGGCCCCCTCATGTTGGGGGCCCCCTAGCCCTGACCACTGGCACCCCTCTGTTAATGCCACAATGGACTATTCCTTTAAGACGCCGATGCACAAACAGGAAGCGATTGGTAGTCATTCCACTCCAATTCAGTTGGTGGCGGTAATGCACCAAATTGTTGTTTGCCAAGTGCCATAAGACCACAAATAAGAAGAAGAGAAAGCAGAAGAAGAAGAAGAAGAAGAAGAAGAAGAAGAAGAAGAAGAAGAAGAAGAAGAAGAAGAAGAAGAAGAAGAAGAAGAAGAAGAAGAAGAAGAAGAAGAAGAAGAAGAAGAAGAGAGGCGGGAGCATTTGTAACAAACTTGAAGCAGTAGTCAAAACATTAAGCATGAAATGGAGTTATCCTAGTGGCTCCAATAAGAGAAGCAGCTTGCTTTAAAAAAAGATTTTATCTTCACTTCCGAAAGTGACATCGTTTTTCTATGTAAACATCAAAAGGAAGCTGAAAAGGAAAGACAATGGAAAATGTTTAAAGGGAGGAAAACATAGACCAAAATAGAAAATAGAAGAAAAAAAAAAGAAATGCAAAAGCACAGAAGCACTGACAGGAAGAAGAAAGCAGAGCAAATATTGAAAGTGCTCAAAGGGAGAGAAAGACAGAAAAAAGAGGAGGACTAATAAAAAGGGAAAATATCTCATGTCAGAAGAGGGGATAATTTCACAAATCCAGTTAAAGGTTAGATTGTCGAAAATTTTGTGTAAGGGGCCCCATGTCTGCATTCGCCTTGGGCCCCCAAATAGCTAAATCCGCCACTGGTCGTGAGTCTAGATGGGTGAGTCCATAAATGTCAAGTGACAGTGTGACGTAGATCTGTCGGGCTTTTCAAATCCTAGTGTTTCTGATTGAACCGTCTATGTTCAATCAGAAGCTAATGAAGGAGATAGGTGTAGGACATCTTCATGTTCAGCCTTCATGAGAAACTCAGAGTGATTATATAATCAGAAATAAGATTTTAAAATAGCCTTTTCAGTGATTCACACTTTTAATGGAGAACCTATCCTAGATTAAGCCCCAGTAAATAAATGTGTGACATTGAAAACTGACATCAAAGACACACAATTATCAGCCATTTTGTCTAATTCTTATGTGTAAAACAACAATTTAGCAGCACCGTCCTCTCAAAATGCTGACATTTTTAAAATCGTGCCATAAATTCTCATCATGGTAGTTTTGGACCAGCTTGAATTCTTTTTATTTTTCTTTTGGTTGACCTTTGCTTAACTAGAATGAGCCCATTTTAAAGGTGTCCTGGAGGAAGGGGGAAGCTGGGCTCAAACCAGCAACCCTCCGTTTGGCAGTGAGCCACTCTTCCCCTGAGCGAAAGCTTGCTCCAGTTTAGTTTCTGTGAGTTGGAAAGCACACACACACACACACACACACACACACACACACACACACACACACACACACACACACACACACACACACACACACACACACACACACACACACACAAACCGTTGCAATGCTTCATCAACAATTACACCATAATCCTGTGTGAAGGGTTAAATAAGAAACTCGTGGCAAAAATGTTAAACGTACCAACTGAGTGTATTCCATCTGCTATTGTGCATTGTTTTAAATATGTTGAGTTACTGTCTTCTGGAATGGTAGCATTGTTTTTTTCTTCAAACTCTAAAAGTCACATTTGAAGAGCAATTAAAAACTGTGAAAAAAGTGACTGTCGCGAGTAATAGCCATCAGTGATACCAGCTCAAGGTGATCCCTATCAATTTAAATGTATTTGTGTCATTTCAAGCTATTTGAACACTACTGGTAAAAAGATAAACCACCAATTTTAATGAAATCCTTACATTTGTGCAGAAGAAATCTTCAGCTATTTGCCGGAGCAATATAGCTTGATGCCCAGCTCAGATTTCAACAGATAGTCCATGGGGGTGCAGACAAATGAGGAATAAAGTGGGTGCCAGGCAGCTTCTGGAGTTGGGGTTTGAAGGCAAACGGGAAAGAGGATAATAACTGCAAACTGGAAATCTATCTGGCATTCATTTAAAGTCAGGATTTTCCCAATACATCCTGGAGCGTGAGTGGCGCTCCAACATTCTTTTTTGTTGGTTTCCTCTTGACCAACAAGGATATTAGCAGTAGCTCAGGCTTAGGCTAGTGTTAGCAGTAGCTCAGGCTAGTGTTAGCAGGAGCTTAGGCTAGTGTTAGCAGTAGCTCGGGCTAGTGATAGTATTAGCTCAGGCTAGTGTTAGCAGGAGCTCAGGCTAGCATGAGCAGTAGCTCAGGCTAGTGTTAGCATTAGCTCAAGCTAGTGTTAGCAGGAGCTTAGGTTCATGTTAGCAGTAGCTCAGGCTAATGTTAGCAGGAGCTTAGCTTAGCATTAGCAGTAGCACAGACTAGTGTTAGCAGTAGCTCAGGCTAGCGTTAGCAGGAGCTTAGGCTAGTGTTAGCAGTAGCTCAAGCAGTAGCTTGGGTTTGCGTTGTTTTGTTGTTAGCATTACCGTGACCAATTGAAGGTTGGGACATGCAGGTGAGGAGGTGTGTCCAAATTTATGACGTGTTATTTCAGCTTTTCTCAGAACGAACCATTTATCCGTGGCCACTACGACATTACCAATTTACATAGGAAAGCAGAGTGGAGACAGTACAGGCTTCTTGGTATGCTACCTCAGTCCAAGCTGCTTTTATTCAACAAGGTAAACGTGGTTTTAAATTCTAGGAACACTTTAAAACAGGTGGGCAGCAAGAGGAAACTAAATAAAAGCTCTAACATTCACATCTATTCTGTTATTTATCAGACAAGGCGAGATAGCATGATTTAGAATAAAAAAGTGAGCAAAAGCTAAAACATTTAAGCTTGGGTCAACAATGTGGTCTGTATGGCATCATCAAGGAGATGAGTAAAATATTTTGAAATTTTAACGACTCAAGCTCCCCCTCCCCTTGTGGAAGAAGCTGAAAGCCACACCTCAAACTACGCACAAATAGCGCCGTAGCGTTAACGAGGGGCCACTAATCTCTTGGCTCGAATACACAAAAGATAAATCCCTTTTCGTTTCCCTCCCTCCCTCGTCCACAGTTAACTTGAAGTTTACAGACTGACATTAATTCAAGCAGGTTGAGTTAGCACCCATGCTAGGTTGGTGTGCTAGCTAAGCAGACTGCCCGTTAGTGCGTCACCCACAGTGCATGCCGAGTGATCAACAGCTCCCTCTTGTGGATAAACAATTTGCTCTAGGCTTGCGTAATAATTAGTTTTTTTTGTAGAGGCCGGGGGATGAACTTAGGGGAACAATTGTGAACAATTTCTTACTTTATATCACAGAACAGGTCAGATATTCAAATTATGCTTTTTTGAAGATACTTTGGTATTTTTACACCATGTAACACTGCAGCTTCAAAGAATCAAGATGCAAAAACTTCTGTTAGACTTGAACACAGCGTTTGATAATCAACAAACCAAAATGTCAGCTGATAGGAGCTCTTCTGGAGTCTTTGTTTACTAATTAATATCCAGAACCTCCCAAACTAATTAACTTAATGGCCTAGAAGTCAGATCTGGGATGGAGCTGCAGCAGGGGGGCAGGTTTTATTGGTTCCTGTTTGTAATGACTTCCTCCATGCAAAAGATAAATGGTCCTGCATTCTGTCATCTCAAGGTGATTATCTCCACATTCATCCATTCCCGAGAGGAAAAGCTGCCTTGCTGCTGAGAGCTGCAACAGGAGATCTACAGCCAGTATTCCCCCCCCCCCCCCCCCCCCCCATCTTGAAGTATTATTAGTCAGACACTTGGCTTCAGCCCAAACAACATAGCAGTCCTCCGGCTTCACCTCGCTGAGCAATGGAGAGAGAAGTAGTGCTTCGTGAGCAGTTTAAACTGTGATTTATAGGGATATCTATAGTTATGATGCAAATCTGTGATCACAGCTGATATATGAGAGACTGCAGGATTGGTTTAGAGATATGTAAACAATGTTTGTTTAGGTTTTCACCCTGAAGGTGATCTATGATACTGATTTTTATGCATAGATGGGAAAATAAATTAAACCTATAATCAGTTTTTCTTAATTTTCCTGTGCAATCTTTGCTTAAATCTGCACACTCTAGTTTTATTTTTCCAGAAAAGAGCAATCATGATTAAAAATATTAAAGTCATTTTACTTTTGTTCACACAACTCCACATAAAAGGAAAACATCTGTCCAGGAAGGGTGTTAAATGCAATGTGCAACATGAGAAAAACAGAAAAACCTTTTTGTTTTTAAGCTCACAAATTGTGGGGAAAATGTGTTTGCAGAATATTGTGCACCAGGGACAGATTATGGTTGTTAATACCACATTAATGCATCGCTTGGGTTTGGATTAGCGGCTGTCACTTGCTTGGATTTTTATGTTAATCAGTCTTACATGTTTTAAACCTCATCAACACGAAGAAAATTTTGAAAATATAAATAAAAACAGCTTTAATTCTTTTCTCCGGGGTTTTGGTACAGAACGTCTGATTCATTCATCCATTAATCAGGATGTTCAGAACATTTTTTGGTTTCACGACAGCTTCTTATCAGAGAATACAGGTGGTGGATGTCATGCAAAAGGGTTCCTCACTCACTTATTACGGCATCTGCTGTGTGCAAAGTTTAAAACAAGCAGCTGCAAAGACAATGATTTTAAACCTCCAACTCTTCAGGAAATACACGTGGATGTTGCTACCAGTCTGATTACGGTGGCTTTCCCTCCCGGATGCATATCAGTTTTAATGAGGATGTGAGACTCGGGTTTGTTCTATTCTTGCAGCAAAAAACGGCAAATGTTGGGAAACATTTTAAATAATAGTTCAAGCACGTATACTAGAATATATTAAAATGTGATTACGTTTTATTGCTTTTCAATGAACTCCACTGATACGAACTTCACTTTAATATATTTTACAGACAAAATGTCAGTTTTTAATTTTAATTTTTAATTTTTTTTTTACCTTTCTCAGCAGTTTGAGCACTTCCCCCGCCTGCTCCAGCTTCTGTTCCCGGAGAAGCCTCTGGATCTCCCGGACCCAAGCCACCCTCCTGACATACGGGCTCTGGTTGGTTTTCCGCAGCATCCCTGGCAGCTTGTCGGATCTGAGCATCAGGGAGGTAAACAAAAATTCCCCGCCGCTCCTGCCGCCACTTTTCTCTCCTTCCCCTGGAAGATCATGTCTCTGGCGTCTTCTCTGAGTCAATTTACTCTCAAAATCCAGACTTCTCTGCCTGGTTAACTTGGAGCCCATCACTCCCGAGACGACGTGTCGGCGCGTGAGGAAGTGAGGGGGATTTCACAGGAGCGCGCAGCCACAACATCACCCCGAACCCGCGCCGAAATGGGTCGACATGCGGAGAAAAATAAAAAAAATAAAAACTGTCAAAGTTTCTAGGCTGCTCGGAAAAGCGACGCAACAGCGTGACAGATCGGTGTGTCGCTGACGTTCCTCAGCCCGCATCCTTCCGTCCGCTGCCCGAGCTCTCACTCCGGCATCCTCGGAGCTGCTCTCAGCCAATCAGATCGAGATCTGCCGCTCAGCATTGGGAGCCACTCTCATGCAGCAGACTGTTGACTGTTGATGGATTAATTCTCCTTCCTGATCTCAAGCCACACATGATAGAGATGATGGATAGATGATAGATAGATGGATAGATGATAGATAGATGATAGATGATAGATGATAGATAGATAGATAGATAGATAGATAGATAGATAGATAGATAGATAGATAGATAGATAGATAGATAGATAGATAGATAGATAGATAGAAAATCAAATTTTCAAATGATGATCACTAACCTTAAATTAACATCTTCATTTCATCTGGCGTGAAACTAATGCTGCGTTTCAAGAAAGCATCATACTAATAGTGAAACATGGTGGCAGTAGTGTGATGATCTGGGGCTGCTTTGCTGTAACTGATGAAACTGTGAATGACCTTTGACCTTTAACAGGCTTGTAATATAAGTTTCAGTGCGAGCATGGGCAGAATACCATGCTTTCGTTCTTTTTTAAACACAGAAACAGTTTTGTTTACCTGTTTTGTAGCTACAGTTTCGCCGACGGCTGCCGGCTTCTTCAGGCTGACGCTGATTGTGGTGCGTCACTTCCTTCTCCGTTTATCTGCGGGCAGCAGAGGACGTTGTCGCCCTCTACTGCCCGCTCTCCCCTCTCCGACGATGCAGTCCCATGCGTGGTCCAGCGTGTAAACTCCGTCGTCCCTGTTCATGGTCCCACATCCACGTCTCCTTATCTCGATTGCTTCCTTGATCCATCTTTTGTATTTTTGTTGTTCAGTGGTTATGATCCTTGTGTTGTCCCAGTCCATTATATGGTTTTCTCTTATGCAATGATCTGTTACGGCTGATTTCCTTATTGTACTTTCTGCTTCTTCTTTTGCTGCTCTTGTGTGTTTTCGATTTGCCTCTTTCTCGCACTCCTTTCTGTGTTCTATTGTTCGTGTGTTGAGTTGGCGTCCGGTTTCTCCTATGTATGTTTTATTGCAGAGTTTGCATGGGATCAACGTCCTCTGCTGCCCGCAGATAAACCGAGAAGGAAGTGACGCACCACCATCAGCGTCAGCCTGAAGAAGCCGGCAGCCGTCGGCGAAACTGTAGCTACAAAACAGGTAAACAAAACTGTTTCTGTGTTTAAAAAAGAACAAAAGCATGGAATTAGAACCACGACACAGTAAGAACACACCTAAGATGGGCAGAATATCTTGCCCTCCAGCCAGAACCTGAAAACAGCACCAGTAGGCAACAACTTTTCCAAAAAGAGCCTTTATTTACACCGGCAATAATAAAACAATCACAATCAACAATAAAACACTAGTCCTTCTCACTAAAAGCCAGCTGATCAGCATAAATAAAAGCATGCAGCGTTACTTAGCTGTCCCAGTTGATGCGAATGCGACCCCCTCCCCGGGGTCTGAGCTTCCAACACCGTCCAACACCCTGGGGCTCAGCTTGCGAGGACGGCGGGTAAATCCACAACTTAGGCCCGACTGCCAGAGTCTGTGGCGACAGATGTCGGTGTGGCCTCGGCACCCATCAACTCCCAGCCCTCGCTACCTAAAGAAGGCGTCAAGCCTTCCCTCCTATCGCTGGAACATTGCCACCTGCTCAGCTATCTTCATCGCCGGCAGTCCTAAACGACTGCGAACGATCCCACCTCCCAGGATCTGGTGCCACAATGACAGGTCGACCACACACACCGCCTTGGTAGATCTGCCACCCTTTTGTTCTCTCCGGCCTCATTACCTGTAACAAGGACCAGCCGGCATCCAATCACCACGCCCTCAGAATCCAGCAACTCCCGTCTTCTGTCTTTCACAGGCTCATCATACTGAAAAAACCTCCAACTTGGCTTAATTAAAACAATGACATAGAGAAGAGAGGGAAAAATTCCTCCAAAGGTCCGTAGATTCTTAGTATTATGTTTGCTGTAGGAATCCAGTGTTTGTACATTTTTTCTATTATTTAACCTTTTTGTTGTCGTGGCTTCAGTAATTTTTTTCATGATTTTCTTAATGTTTTCTGTTGGGTCTTTTTAAAGTATTTTGTATGTATTTTTGTCCTCTAGCATCTGTTTCATCTGTTTATATTTTTCTTTGTCCTTTACTACTGTGGTTCTTCCTTTGTCTGCCGGTAGAATAATTATCTGTTCATTTTTGGATAAAGCTGTCATGGCTGATTGTTCTTCTTTTGTAATATTGCTGTGTTGAATTCAGCTGTTCTTTAATATTATCCCAACTACATTATTTCTAAGTTCTGCTTCCTTTCTCTCATCTGTGATCTGTTGACATGCAATTTCTGTTGCTACAATAAATTCCTTATATGGTATTTTCTTTGGTGTTACTGCAAAATTGAAACCTTTTTTAAATATGCTTTCTTCTGCTTCTGTTAGTTTGTATTGTGAAAGGTTACATACCTGTGTATTTAGTGTGGTGTTATCTTGTGTTTCTTTTCTCTTTTTCTTGTTGATGAGTTTGAAACTTCTTTATGTGTCTTTCTTTTACTTTTATGAACTCTTTTTCCTGTTGTTCCATCATGTGCCCTTTAATTTGTTCCTCAGTTTTTTCATCAAGTTTGTAATTCCTTTTTAAGTCCAGGTGTCTTCTTTCCAGTTCGTTATCCGCTTGCTTCTGTTTGGTTGCGACGTTTCTTATCCTTTTTTTGAGTAGTCTTAAATTGAAGCGAAGGTGGTTCCTTAGACGTGCGTGTTTCTGATGTAAAAGTTCCAAAAGGCGGAAGTCCTTTGTTCCTTGTTGTCCGTATTTTTCTTTAAACATCTTTGGTATAATCTTACTGTGTTGCTTTTCTAACTGCATTGTTGGTTCTTTTTTAAAACACAGAAAAGTTTTTTTTTTTACCTTGCTGCTGACAGTTTCGTTCACGGTTGCAAACTTCTTCAGAGCTGAATTGGATCGCGCATGGGACTGCATCATCGGAGAGGGGGGAGCGGGCAGCAGAGGGCAACAACGTCCTCTGTTGCCCCCGGATAAACGGAGTAGGAGGTGACGCCACTATCAGCATCAGCTCTGAGGAAGTTTGCAGCTGCGAACAAAACTGTCAGCAGCAAGGTAAAAAAGAAACCTTTTCTTTGTTTTAAAAAGAACCAACAATGCAGTTAGAAAAGCAACACAGTAGGAACATACGAAAGAAGTCATTCACCCATTCACACGCTGGTGGGGATGAGCTACGATGTAGCCACAGCTGACCTGGCATGCACTGACAGAGGCGAGGCCTGCCGAACACTTGCACCACCGGTTCCTTCTGACCACCAGTAGCAGGCAGGGTGGGTTGTGTCTTGCCCAAGGACAAAACATCAGTATTCTTTGGTGGGAGCCAGGATCAAACCTGCAACTTCCCAGTTACTGGATAACCCGCTCTACCTCCTGAGCTACTGCTGCCTTCATGTCACTCTGTGAGGACTAGAGAGGTGGCACACGGTACAGTCCAAGATTTCAGTGAGCCAAACCACACTACCTCTTGCTAGCAGGACATGCTAACGTCACAAGCGTATTCACAGAAAAGCACATGTGACAAATAGCTGACAGATATTCATGACGACAACAATGAAAAGAGGCTACACCTTTCACTAGTTCTTCATGTCACTCCCTGGGTGTATTTTCATGGGCTGATTGCCGACCGGAGTCGTAGGTTTTCTGATGCTGCTTGAAGAGTGTCAGAGGCTGGATTTGGTCATTAGCTGTCGTTGGGACGTTCACACTGGACAGACACAGACTTGCAAATCACTCTCAAATTCACTATTTTTTTGTCATGACTCTGTTCACGATGAGGGATTCATCTAGGATGGCCAACAAACGCACAGTGTAGTTGGGATTTTATAGAAGATTAATCCAAAAATGTTCTTAAATTGTTTTGTTTTTATCTGAGGATACTGAGAGCCAGACGGAGATAACCCAGTGGCTGCTTTTGGCCTTCAGGTTGTACTTGCCCATGATGTGGTACAAATAGATTTATCATCATTGTGTCACGTCCTGTCCTGTCTACTCTTAGGTTTTGTCTGTGTCTCCGTTAATTGCTCCCACCTGCCTCTTGTTTCCCAATCACCTTAGCTCCCGGTCCTCCTGTATTTAAACCCTGTCTGTTTTGTGTCCTTGGTGGAGTCATTGTTTCAGTGTCCAGCGTGTCTCTTCAATAAACCTATGTTAAACGGACTCTCCTGTTCGCCTTCTTCCTCCCTGCGCTTGGATCCTCCTCTGATCACCACCTCGCTGCCCGGCACGCTCGTGACACATTGTTGACTTTGTGATTGACTAACAGCTGGTTTCACATTTTATGATAACCGTGACAGGCTCCAGTGTCCTTCGATAGGACAAACTGGATCTGGAAATTACTAAACACATTAAGAACTGCTCAGTGACAAACAAACCTCCTGGGTTATAAATTGACCCGGTGCTGTATAAAATATGAATGACTGAATCCATTTTTTATTTAAAACTAAAATGATTAACAAAGCAAATCAAGTAAAATATCTTGTTAGAAGTCACTTTTGTCATTTTATCCTCAGCTTTTACATCCTGAAGCAGAAAGGAGTCCAGTCATGTTCAGCCTGTTTATCTCCTGAGTCAAGATGATTACAGATGGTTCTGAATGTAATACACTAGGGTCACCTTAGAATAAAAACAAAAAAAAGTATCAGCAGGGTAAAAAAAACTATTGATGATAATGATCATTGATAATATAAATGTGGCTAATAAATAAATTGATGAAAAGAGGTGGTCTGAGATTCAAAGGCAGGAGGAACTATTGAAAAAATGGGTTTTATTTGAAAAGTGGAGGACGGTCGATGAGACCAACAAGTAGGGAATTATAATCTTCACGATGGGATGTGACCATGGCGGGAGCAAGATCCGGAGCACGGTGAAATGTGAGGGACTAATGCAGTCCATCTATGCAGCCTGAGTGATGTTTCTGATATTGGATTGGAATGATGATGAACTGTCAAAGATGACACACCTAGACTCTTAACCTGAGGTGAGGCTTAGCAGACGAGGCAGGAATTCAGCACTCTTGCATGCAAATCTG